GCGCTGCACCAACACTCGCAGGCTGTGCTTTCTTCGCTTCAGCAGTGAGAGGCCTGAGACGCACCACAGATTCACGACACCGATGATCTGACACGACAGACAGTCCATCGGACGCAGGTTTGTTCACAGGGAGTCCCCGCCACAATGCGCAACTACCACATGAACAGGCTAACTGTGAGCCCAATAAAAAGCAACACAAAATGAAACCAGTACTGGGATAAGCAGATGATAACCAACACTTAATGATTAAAAATCTAGCTGAAAATAAAAACATAGTAAAAAATAATAAATCTCATGTTATAAAAAACTGCACATTGTAAATATTATTTCCCTGAAAACAATGAGTCCAACATGACTTCCTTTAACCCCCTTGGATGTCCTGCTGCCTTTCGTACTTCAATTTAGTTTTCAGAGCAAACAGCACGAAAGTTGCGTACCTTAAACCCCAAGAGAGGCGGTCGAGAGCAGCTTGTTACGAACTTGAGCAATTTGCGCTTTTCCTCATCAGTGAAACCATCTACAACTCTCCAGAAGATCTTAATGACAGGATGATCAGCAGAGTAACCTCCTGTGAAGAAATGAGCAGGTATTTTGTTAACGTTAGAAATAAGGCAGTCGTCCCGTGGTGTCAGTGGAGACCAGTCAGTCCCAGGAACCCTGAGGATAGCAACATCCACGGATGCTCAAGTCCCTTCTATCAAGTGTCTAGCACTTGCACATAACCCACACAAGTCTTCCTAATACTTGAAATCTTAAATCACCTCTCGATTACTTATAATACCTAATACAACGTAAAGGCTATGTAAATAGTTGTCATACCACATTGTTTAGGCAACAATGAGAAGAGTTCAGATACAATAATCTATTTCCCTGAATATTTTCAATCTGTGCTTGGTTAAATTCACAAATGTGGCACCACGGACATGAAGGGCCAACTGCAATCGCAAAGGCAGGGTTCTCTGCCCCCCGCCCTGTACCACTTTGGAGGTGACGGGAAAAGTACAAGAGGGAAACTTAAGAATCAGAGACAAACGCCAGAATAAGAAATATCTGTCACTACAAGATGAGCACCAGAAGATACTGCCAAGGAGTCTGTTCTTTAGGAACTATGCCGGTAGTTAAAAATAAACCACTGTTGAGTAGTAGACTCTAAATAAGGGATTTACATGTGGTCACATATCTAAAAACAGTAGTAGACAACGAGATTTTTATTTCTAATAGAGCTAGGTGTTTTCCCAATGTGATCTTAATGTTTAAATTAATTTTACCATCTCTCCTTCTCATACTAACTTATTATCCTTTTGATAATAAGACCATGGCTAACAACCAATCCTGGTATATGATTAGATAACTATTCTAAAATTTACTATGTGCTACTTATGGCCTTTAATCTAGTTAAGTGCTTCCTAAAACTAAAATAATTGCTATATATTGTTCCCTCATTGTTCATATACTACAGAAATAACACCAATAAAATATCTTAAGTGTATTAACTGGCACCAAAATGAGTATGATAATATTTTAAACCTATTTACCGGAATAGCAAAGATCATTAAAGGTATAAACTTTCAGCGCAGACAGGGCAATGCAAACAACCCAAGACAATTTCTTGGCAAAGGGGAGCCTAGACTGATTTCATCTTCTTAAACTTATGACTTGATGGTGGGGACGGCGTGACCTTAGGTATTATTTGCCTTTACGCAGAGTTCAAATTTACAGCAATACGGGGTAACCACAGCAAGGGAGCCACACACACACACACACCCACACACACACACACACACGTGTGTATAAAAACAATTTTTAGCAAGTTTTGCTTTGCAACCATCAACACAATGCAATTTTAGAACATTTCCGCTTCATCAAACAGATCTCACTGTCACCTCACAGCCGACCCTGACCTGCGGTCTCTACCAATGTGCTTGTGGGACACTCCACACACACACGCGTTCAACAGAACCAGGAACCTGGGTAGGATTTCTTTATTGTGGTGAAATACGTAACATGAAAGTCACCATTCAAACCATTTGTAAGTGTTTTACGCGTGGTATTAATGACATTCACGTTGTCGCACGTCCACTACCACCGTCGGTTTCCGACGTAACCGTGTGGCCGTCAAGTACCTTGCACTCCTCTCCCCAGGTCCCAGGAACCACAGTCCACTCTCAGTGCCCGTGACCTGGCCTATTCTGGGACCTAGTGTAAGCCGAACCGTGCAATAGCGTCCTTTCTTTCCTGGTTCATTTCACTTAGCATGTTTCCAAGATTCATCCATGTTACGTGTATCAAAACGTCATTCCCTTTTTTTTTTTTTTTTTTTGAATCCACAAATAACATTTGTCTTCATCCCTCAGTCCCTTTGATACTAACAAGGACACAGAGGCAGAGACACAGGCCGAAATGGTTTTAAGCCTTGCTTTCAGGTGGCTTGTCACCCAACTTCTGGTGACTCAACGTCTGACGTAGCCTCACATCTGGTCACGCACCGTCCCAGGGGCCTTGCAGAGACAGGGTGCCTTTCGTGTGGGAAGTTCTCGTAGTCAGCTTGTGCCAGTGAGGGCTGGACTCAGAGGACCTGGGCTTCTCTCCTGACCAGCCATGTACTCTGTGCCACTGCTGGGGACACCTGCTGCTTAGTCTACTCAGCACCAATCCCATCCCCACCATCATACAGTTCTTTTTTTAAGACTTAATATTCAATTGTATGCATACACAGCAGTTATTCACCGATTCGTTGTCGACGGACACGTGGGTTGTTTCTGCTCCGGCTCTCGTGAGTGACGCTGCTGTGGACAGGGGCGTACGGACCTCTGTGGAGTGCCTGCTGCCAACCCCTTTGGGCGTACACCTGGGAGGACCCCTGGGCTATACGGTGATTCTGTGTTTAGCTTTCTGAGGAAACGGCGAATTGTTTTCCACAGTAGCTATGTCATTTTACCTTCCCACCAGCAACGAACAACCATTCCAATTTCTACACATCCTCCCCAGTACTTGTTGTTTTCTGTTTGTTTAATAACAGACACACTAAGGAGCGGTAAGTGGATCTCACTGTGGTTTTGATTGGCGTTTCCCTAATGACTAGTGATGGCTCAGCACTGTTTCTGTACTTACTGCACATTTGTATATCATCTTTAGAGAAATGTCTATGCAAGTCCTTTCTTCATTTTTGAATTGGGTTGCCTTTTTATTGTGAACTTGTAAGAGTTCTTTATATATTCTAGGTACTAGACTCCTGCCAGATATGTGATTTGTAAATATTTCCTCTCACTGTGTAGGCTGCCTTCACTGTTATCTTTTGATGTACCAACATTTTTAAATTCAAAAGTCTAATTTCTTTTTTCTTTTGTTGCTTGTGTTTTTGGTGTAATATCTAAGAATCCATTGCCAAATCAAAAGTCACAAAGATTTACCTGTTTTCTCCTACAAGTTTCAAAGTTTTAGCTCTTATAGTAAGGCTGTTGATCTTTTTTTTGAGACGGGGTCTCACTGTGTCGCCCAGGCTGCAGTGCAGTGGCGTCATCATAGCTCACAGCAACCTCAAAACTCCTGGGCTCGAGTGATCCTCCTATCTCAGCCTCCCGAGCAGCAGGGACTACAGGCCGGTGACACCACTCCCAGCTAATTTTCTATTTTAGTACAGACAGGGTTTCACTCTTGCTCAGGCTGGTCGTGAACTCCTGAGCTCAAGCGATCCTCCCGCCTCAGCCTCTCAAGAGTGTTGGGATTACAGGCGTGAGCCACCATGCTAGGCCTTCACTTCTTTTCTGTGAAAATACTTTCACGTGCCCCCAGGCATGTAATTTGTATGCCTTTTCTCCTGTTACATGTTTTTTGTCAGTTTAATTCACAGGCTCCATGTACATAAATAAGAGCGTAGAGGAAAAGTTTTTCCTCTGCTACACCCCCTCCTCCCACAAGAAGGGAAAAAATAATAATTGTACTTCTGGCCTTCTACCATAAAATATCATAAAAATATAAATTCATACATAGAAACACAATATTTTCCGCTATAGTGTAAGATTAAATAAATCATGATATATCTAATCTCATGTTAACCGTAAGAAGAACAGCAGCTTAAAAATGTTACTGATGCTAAACATAAAACCTCAGAATATGCAGTATGAATTATATATAACCACAAACACATGAAAAGATTGGAATACGAGAATATGACTGCAGAAGCCACACCAACACAGCAGTGGCTATTTTAGAGTACTGGAATTCAGGGTGACTTTCCTTTTGGGACGGGGCGCTACGCTGCCGAGGCTGGGGCCCAGCGGCTGTTCTCGGGACGATGGCAGCTGACCACTGCCCTGCCCCGGGCTCCAGCGATCTCCGTCTCAGCCTCCCAAGTAGCTGGGACCACAGGCGCACGCCACCAACGGTGACTTTTGTCTTTTTTCTTTTCACTGTTCCCATATATTTATAATGAGGTCAGTTTAAATAAATACACAAAAAAACCTTACAAATACCCAAAAGACACCATTTTCAATCCTCGACAACCGCGTGACAGCTGCGCCTTTCCTGCTCTGCTGGCAAAGGGCGCTGAGCATCTCTCTCCGCGCTTACGGGCCATTTGTGTAACTTTTTTGGGATGTGGCTGTTTAACACTTTTATTTTTGTAACTGGGTATTTTTTTCCTTATTATTGTATTTACAATATTTAATGCATTTTGGATACAAGTTTTTTGTCAGATATATGTATTCTGAATATTTTTGTACCAAATGTGGCTTGTTTTTCATTTTTTTAAGAGTAGAAAGTTTTAAGTTTAATCAAAAAGCATACACTTTGATGAGGCCCAATTTTTCAGTTTTTTTCTTTTACTATTATTACTGGGGGTGCGTGTGGGGGGTGGGGGGAGCTAGCACTGTTCAAATGCCCCGCTGCGGAGATGCAAGGAGACCCGAGATGCAGCACAGCACGTAAACAAGGACGTAAGGATTAAACCCGGCTTTTCCACGTCTGCAAGGCCTGGGAGGTGAGGTCCCAGCCCAGCCAAAGACGTCGGATCTCATCGTCCTACATCCTTCTTTGTTCTCTGTCCCCAATTCCCCTCAACAAAGTGGTTTGAACCCCCCTCCCCAAACAGAAAGAATTATGCCTGCATTTCTTTGTAAACACACGACGACACTAGGCACGGTGGTCCCTGATGCTGGGAGGGGCAGGAGGACGGCACAGACGGAGACAGGAACGGAATGAGCACTCTAACTATGACCCTCACTACTCATTCTGGGTTCTGAACCATGTAAATTACCCACACAGAAAACTATATGGAAAACTGCTTTGGAAATATGGTCGTCTGTAGCATTTTCGGGAAGAATAACTACCAGTGAACACCTACCTGAATAGTTTGTAAAGGACTTTAGGTCCTCCAGACTGATAGGAACTTGTGCACCAGAAATGAGTACCTGAAAAAAAAAGTTCAAATCATAAAATTTGGTATAGATTTTAAGAAGTAATTTTCATTTCCTACAACAACTGTGTCCTCCAGAGTTAGCAAGTAAGGTACCTGAATTTCTTGCTGATCAAACATTCGGAGCCACTCGAGGTTGACGACGTTGGCCAGGCCCTGTCTGAAAGCCAGGCAGTGCTGGCGGATCTGCTTGTTCAGCCTGTAGTCAGCCACGAGGTGGATGTACGCAATCCGGTTGGCACTGGTGACAGGGATGTCTTTCCCGCCAAATTTTAGTTCAACCACCTGTGAGTACAAGGCACAAAGATGTCAAAATCTCAAAGTATGATGACAGCGTAAAACAAAAGCAAAAAATGTTTTAAGAAGCATGACTCACTGCTTTGTCAACACGAATCTAAATACAAAATAAACCACGAGCACACACACACGCCATTCCATGCAGATTCAAAGACACACCTCTGAGAGGATTCTCCAGAGCTTAGCGACTTGCTTGTAAATATAAGAAGCACACACTTATCTTCATATTTCCACAATGTTATTACTCCTGTAAAGGACTTCAATTATGATTTAAAGGATAATGGTAATAATCAGAGATACGGGATCAGCCAATCTCTTATGTATACCAACAGAGTTAATAAGAACAATTTGTATCAGCACACAGCCACACCCTCCGAACTTGCAGGGTCAGGGCATGTTCCTGTAAGGATCCCAGGGCGCTAGGGAGACAAGCACCATGGCAGAAACACGGAGGCCTGGCTTCTGTTCCCTCTCCCTCCTTGTCACTTTGCTCCTTGGCCTTCTTTCCTCATTAGTGAGGTGCTAATACGAGCTTTGTCTATTTGGGAATTGTTGCGCTTATGTGAACTCACACATATAAAGTTGACTGGCAAAACATCATAGTTATAAGCACATAACCATACTTTGTAAGAGAGTATACTCTTTAAATTTCCTGTTTACTAGTACTTGAAAAAAACACAGCTGCATTCCTGAGGATGGATGAGGATAGTCTGTGCCATCGATGAAGAAAACGTAAGTGAAAACGTTGCAGGGTGACCACATTCATAAGGGGCTACTGCTGGCAGAAACCAGGAGACGGTGAGAACAGGCTCGCTGTGCCTGCCAGGCAGGTGGCAAACGTCGGGGGAAGAACAGAGACGCCTCACCTGCAGATTACGGGAACGAGGTCGGTACCCCCTCATGCTCTCATAGCCTCCAGCTCTCCTGGTAGTTTCTATACTCCCAGAGTAACAAAGACAATTCCTCTGTCTCTGGACAACAGCATTTATACCCCATTTTTTACCACTTTACAGAAAGGCTATTTCAAAACCTGCTGAAAAGCTCTACTTAAGTCATCCTGTATCTGAAGGTTTGCTGGTTCTCATTTTATATAGCTTTAAACTTGAACGTTAAATTTGTCAGGTGTGCTTCTTTTAATATTTCACATTTTAAATGACGATTCAATTATTCTTACTAATTCACTTTCTTAGTTTTGGAACCATCAAGTCTAAGGATGCGCTTTCCAATCCATTGTCTCGCTCTGATTAAGGGCTGTGCTCATTACCTTAATTCCTCTGCCTGCACTCAGCTGACAGTCCATCTGTCAGCCCAGCCTCGGGGGGCCAGCCGTTACCCTTCAACGTATGAAACACCACCCTTCCGTTAAATGGATTAAAGGCGCATGATAAATGATGGTGCACTGGTGTGACTTGGAAGACAAAGGACCAGAAGTTATCAGTTAAGGAACTTCCCAGGCTCCCAACTACCCTGGCTGATCAGACAGAACCAACGTTTCCAATAACTTTGAAATGGTTACACTGCTTTTAATTTAAAATCCTCTCAGGCTAAACCTAAACAACTAAGCATATGTCTAAAGAACGTCAAATATGTGCTAAAATTTCACGTTGAGGGCGGATTTTAAATCCCCTTTAAATACAAGCAGAGAGCTGGAGCTGTCCTAGGGTCAAGAGCTGTCCCTCTGCCCTCCTGAAGGTCTGCCACAGCACAGGGACCGCAGGCCTCGCACGATGCCACCTCACACGACCTGCTTACGTGAGCTCATCCAAGCCTCCAGCACTCACTCCCCGCGTCTGAGACGAGGAAGGGGTCCTGGGAATTGCCTAAGGCCACACAGCAAAGCAGCCCACACAGGACTCGAACCATGGTCTCCTGGCTCAAGTCCCGCAGTTTCTACATAACAGATGGTTATTTGTGGGTCCTTCTTAAACCCTTAGCATTTTCCTCAAGAAAGATGTCTATGTAAATTAGTCTGAAATAAAATTTCATGTTCGTTATTAAACAGACTAACACATAGCCAAATTGATTACACTGAAGAAAACAAATTTGAGAGCAGCACCATTATTTTAAAAGGGAAGAGTAATTAATACATCCTGCCAACATAATGAAGTATTTCCATATTATAGATCTTTAAATCATGATATTTCAGAAACTTAAGCCTGTATAGAGAACTACCTTTTTATATGTACTTCCACAGAAATCTTTAAGATCACTCCCCAAATTAGGGGCTTTACCAGTGAAAGCCTAATTTTCTAATTAGGATCTTTAGTACAATTATTCTTTATTTTTCTTAGAGTCTCGTTCTGTTGCCTGGGCCAGAGTGTGGTGGCACCATCACAGCCCACTGCAGCCTCAGCCTCCTGAGCTCAAGATCCTCCTGCCTCAGCCTCCCGAGTAGCTGGGACTACAGGTGTGCGCCACCACACCCGGCTAATTTTTCTGTTTTTCTTAGAGACAGGGTCTCACTCTTGCTCAGGCTGGTCTAGAACTCCTGGCCTCAAGCGATCCTCCGGCCTTGGCCTCCCAGAATGCTGGGATTACTGGGGTGAGCCACCGTGCCCGGCCTTGCGTAATTATTCTTATGCATTATCATCTATAATTTCTTAACCCTGTGGGAATTTCCATGAATAATTGGAACATCTTAGCGTCACACTTTTGCTTTTAACAGATTCCAGTATTATCAGTGGTGCTTTAATGGAATGCTTTCACATGTGACATTTCATTATTACCATCTATTTTCAGAAGGAAAAATGGGAAATACTCCCATTAGCAAAGGCCTTGGACAGGTCATTATAACACTGTCCTAAGGGTTTTTTTTTCCCTTTAAGACAGAGTCCTACTGTGTTGCTCGGGCTAGAGTGCAGTGGTGTCATCCTAGCTCACTGCAACCTCAAACTCTTGGGCTCAAGGGATCCTCCTGCCTCAGCCTCCTGAGTAGCTGGGACTACAGGTGTGTGCCACCATGTGCAGCTAATTTTTTCTATTTTAAGTAGAGATGGGGTCACTCTCTCGCTCAGGCTGGTCTCCAACTCCTGAGCTCAAGCGATCCTCCCACTTCACCCTTCCAGAGTGCTAGGATTATGGTGAAGCCACTGTGCCCAGCCTTGTCCTGAGGCTTTTATTCCATCTAAAAATCATGCTGCTAGGTGGCAGCCTGCAGCATCACCATATGTTGAAAATTTCCTGACAATAACAAACCTCGCTCTCCAAAAATCGTCTTAATTCTGTATGGTCAAGACTTCAGTTGTATGGTATGGAAGAAGACGTTGAAAAAAAACGGCAACCAGGCCTGGTGTGGTGGCTCATGCCTGTGTTCCTAACGCTTTGGGAAGCTGAGGCAGGAGGATCACTTGAGTCCAGGAGTTGGAGGCTGCAGTGAGCCATGATGATGCCACGGCACTCCAGCCCGGGCAACAAAGCAAGACTTGTCTCAAAAAAGAAAAAAAAAAAGAAAACCCTACTAAATTAGTGGCAACCAAATGAAATCTGGTTCCATACTTCTCATTCCTATTTTATAACACTTTGGTGCCACTCTCAGGAATGCCCAAAGGTTACCCAGGAAGTATTACAGAAAGAGGCAGAAGGCCTGAGCCAGGATTACTTCCTTTCATCTGACCTAGCTTTAATCTGAACCTATTCCTGAAAGTGGCTTTAAAGGCTAACAGTCTGAAAATTCAAGTTCCAAAAAGATGACCATTTTAAAACAATATCCAGAATGTTTAGATACTAGGATGTATAAACCTTTGTGTGTGCTTTTTAATTCTGAAGACATCTTGCTGGTGTACAAACTATTAATATATAGCAGTTCTGCAGCTTAAGGAGGAAGCCCCCCAATAAGGACACTAAATCTCTTATTTTCCTGAGGAATTCTCAGTACAGCAGAATATTATGATTGAAATGAATAACACTGCAATGAGATACCTCTTTATACCCATGACGATGGCTATTTTAAAAAAAGAGAAAGAAAGAAACGGAGGAAAAAAGTACAGAGTAGCTGGTGTTACCAGCGAGGGTGTGGAGAATTGACCCCGCGCGCTGCAGGAGGGATGAGAAACGGCAGCTGCTGTGGAACGTGGCTCGATGGGTCCTTAAAAAGTTAGACATGGAAATGGACCATGAACCAGCGATTCCAGTTCCAGATATGTACTCTTTAAAAAAGAGGCAGAGTCCCACTGTGTTGTCCAGGCTGGTATCTAACTCCTGGCTTCAAGTGATCCTCCCACCTTGGCCTCCTGAAGTGCTGGGATCACAGGCGTGAGCCACTGCGCCCAGCCTCTATATACTCAAAAGAAACTGAAAGCAGGACAAATTTCGTAGAATTTTATAATGAACGTTTTTTAAATAAAGGTACATTTAGCTACAATTTCCCATTTTCCCTATGTAAGGTGACTTTTGGGACACCCTGGATATCTGCTTCTCTTATTACAATGTGTACTCTCTTACAATCTTTTAAAAAACAAAAACTGCATTAATTCTAACTTGCTCAATATGTGGTTACCATAATAAAACGTTAGTGTTTGTGACCCAGGGGTTATCCTGTGTGGGTCAACACATTTTCAATGTGCCATTTCAGCTTTCAGATTCGGGATGCTCGACCTGGAGATGAAGCAAATCCCAGATGCTATTAATTCATCAATAAATATTTTCATGTGTTGCACATGAATGTCTGTAGCAGTATTATTTATAATAGCCATAAAGTGGAAACAACTCAGATACCCATCAGCTGATAAAGAGAACGTGGGGGTGCATCCGTGTCGTGGAATACCACTCGGCAGAAAAGGAACCGAGTCCCGACACACGCAGCAAGCGAAGGCGAGAGTCAGAGTCCTTGGTGTGAGACGTGCAGACACGTGAGCGCAGGAGAGGCGGCGGGCTGGGGGCCCGGGTGGGGCGGGGTGGCTGCTACTGGGCGCAGCTTCTCTCTGGAGTGAAGAAGTGTTCTAACATTGGCCGCAGTGGTGATGGTCGTACAACTCTACGAATACACTAAAAACCACCGAACTGTACACACTCCAAGAGGGTGGATTTTATGTTATGTGAATTATGTCTTAACAAAGCTATGAAGAAAATAGTTCAAATCTCTAACATGGGCCTTTCTTTTCAAAAAAGGGGCATGAATGACAAGAGCAACCAGAGGGACAATGAACACGAAGCCCTGACGCCAGTGTCAGAGGAGCCAGAGCCACTCAGAAGGCAGGAGCGAGGACTGCTCCTCCAACCCCAAGGGCTCCTGTCCAGAGGTGCCAGCTGGCCACTCCCAGCGCCAGGAACCAGACAAGACAGGAGGCGTGACCACAGCCACGAGAGGATCCCACCGGAGCAGGGCTGAGCCGGGGCAGGCCCGCACCGCAAACGGGCTGAGAATGGTGCTCAGAGGCCGGGCCCAGGTGTTTCAGGCTCCTACAAACTCCTGTCTCTAACTCCCAGCCACACTTTCTTTTAAAACGCGCAAAAGCTCAAACAACATAAAACAAATGTGCTTCCACACAGAAGGAATTAGCTTTCTTGCTGGTGAGCGCACAGCGGGGCAGGGCCACGCTCACCTGTGCCTCGCCCAGGTCATTGTTCACCACAGTGAAGTTCAGCCCCAGATCCTCCACGTCATCTTCATAGCTCTTGAGGAACAGCAGATTCTTGTAGACTTCGGGATCCAGGGAGGCCAGGTGGTGGATGTCCACGTCCGCGCTGGTCCCCAGCAACTTGGAAAGGAAAAAGCCCGCGAAGGGCAGTTCCACCAGCATGTTTTCATAGAGAGCCTTCAAGTAAGACCAATGAACAATGATTAGCATTTACAGTCTTCTTCATGCTTCCCACAAATAAAAAATACACACTCGATTTAACATTTAGCAGAATTGTAAGATCGCAGATACTATTCCTCCAGAATAATGAAGAGGACAGTGGAAGCTAATACTCAGTGAGCATTTACCACATGCCAAGCTACAGTGTAAGCGTTCGATGTGTGCATTCGGCGTGTCAGAAATCCTTGAACAGACTGCTTGGGGGTGGAATCACAGAACGCCAGCATCGACGGGGATTCTTCTGTTCACAAAGTCACACTACGTTGCCCGGGCTGGAGTGCAGTGGCTACTCAGGGGTGCGATGCCACTGCTGATCAGCACCGAGGCAACCTGGTGGCCACTGCTCCCAGGAGGTCACGTACTGATATTCCCAGCTCAGTGCAGATGACTGATGCGCACAGCACACTATGGCCCAGAACCCCTGGGCTCAAGGAATCCTCCTGACTCAGCCTCCCAAACAGCTGGGACTACAGGTGCGTACCACCATGCCCAGCCAATTTTTTCTACCTTTTTTTAGTTGCCCAGCTGATTTTTCCCATTTTTAGTAGAGATGGGGTTCTCATTCTTGTGCAGGCTGGTCTCGAACTCCTGACCTCAAGCAATCCTCCCGCCTTGGCCTCCCAGAGTGCTAGGATTACAGGTGTGAGCCACTGCACCTGGCCACCAATCATTACTATTATCAGTCTTCTGGTTGGTGCACTGGGGCATCTCATTGTGGCCTTAATTTGCATTTCCCTGACAACTAATGGTACTGGATCAAATCAGGTGCTGGTGGGTATTACTGTATTAATCTCCAGAGATCCCATACCAAAAGGAGGTGGGAGGTAAAATTATGAAAGGTTACCAAAGTCAGGTTTCACTTTGCATGATAAATATTCCAGTGGCCTAAAGATATAAAGTGCAAGAAGGAATCAGAAATATGCCAAGCTTTTCAAAAACATTCTTAGTATTTTATTCTAACAGACAATTGACTTGGAACCCTCAACAATCTTTAGTGTGAAAATTTTTCTAATAAAGGTAACCGTTACCAGATCTTGAATGTTGACTATGTGCCAGGCACTCTGCTAGGCACGCAGTGAGACGTTAATTATCTTATTTCCATTTGGTCTGTTTGGACAATTTCATAACTTATGGCAAAAGAATGGATGCAAACAGAAAATCTTAATTTCCTCTACGAATGCTGCACTTGCTAGAATATGTCTAATCTATAGAGAGAGATGTATTTCCAGTGATCCCACGAAATGCTCTGCCCCCGTCTTCCCAGGTCAAAGAAGTGGTGTAACTACCCTGACTTGGTAAGAGGAGAACTTGACACCTAGTTTTAAAGCAAGAAGCCCTCCCAGCAGAGGGGGTCACGAACCCTCCTCGCGTTTGGCAGTGTGGCGCTGAGACCTTGCCTGAGACTGAGGGACCCTGCGGGAGAGCAGCTGAAGGCTGGGCTAGCCCTGCCTTACAAGCAGCCACGATGAGCTGTGCTGGAGGAGATACGCTGGATAGACCCAGATCCTCTCATCCCACTGTTTTCAGATTCAAGTGCTACTGTGCTACTCATGAAATACCAAAATAGAAACAAAGCTTCATCTGTGGGGTGATCATTCATCCATGAGACTGTCGACTCGGAAAATCACCTGTGAGACGGAGCGGCCATCCATCACTGGCCCACGCCGTGCACACTCGGTGGTGCGCTGAGGGTTTAACAGGACAGGTCTGTGTGAATTCGCACGAGCAGGAACACCTTCCGGAGTGCTGGGACTGTGCTTCTACGATCTCCCAGCAAAGGGGAAACTGCTCATCTGGGGAGTGAATCCTTTGCTTAGCCACAGCTTCAAGCACAGTTACAGTATTTAATCATCTATTTCATATGTGAAGTCATAATCACTAATCCTTAAATACTCTAAAACTTACACACTCAAACAGAGAATGTTAAGATACTCCTCGAGAGCTGCATTTTTAAAGACTCACCCACCGGTCCCAGCCCTTGGGGAGGCCAGAGTCGGAGAACTCTTGGAAGCCAGGAGTTCGAGACCAGCCTAAGCAACACAGGGAGACCACACCTCTACTAAAAATAAAAAAATTAGCTGAGTGTGGTGGTACAAGCCTGTCATCCCAGCTACATGGGAGGCTGAGGCAGGAGGATCACTTAAGCCCAGGAGTTGGAGGTTGTAGTGAGCTATGATCTCAGCACTGCACTCCAGCCTGGGTGGCAGAGCAAGTTGTCTCTAACTAATTGTCTCTAGTTATTGTCTCTAACTAATAAACAAACAGACAGACAGACTGGCCCAGCAACGTGACTGGAGGAAACCAGAGAACAGTTGCTGACGTTCTCCCCAAAGTACAGGTCTAGAGTGCCGTTGGCTTCTTGCGGTAGAAAACGGCCAACAGACATCTGAAGAATGCTTTTTTCCAAGGCTGCTCTACGTGAGGGGCTTGGGCTCACATCTGATTACTATAGACAGCACCACACTCCCCTCCACGAAGACCACAGCTGTTCTTTGCCATGTAAACTTAAATGTTAGGTCACTGTGCTTTTATTTGTGATTTGAAGACTAATGATTACCCAGTTAATTTTGAGAAGATGGCAAAAAAAGACTTCTTAATGAGACAATGAATAATAAAATGGCAACTAGCATGGAGCCATCATCTACTGATAATGTAAAGAGTTGTTGTGAAAAGCCAGAGTTTGCTTAAAGTTAAGAATGGTTAATACTATTAACCTGGACCACTTGTAAATACCATTACTTCCAAATGAATGATGAGTTCAAAGCCAAGGAGAACATTCTGCATAGAACTACGTGATTGATTCCAGGTGTTGAAGGAAAGCCCTCATTTGTACAGTGGACTTTAAAAGTAAACGGGAAGTATAAATCATTTGATGTTCAATATATAAGGTCATTGTTTGCCATTTCTGCATTAGTAACAATAAACCAGTGAAACTGGTTAAATATATCAGGGCTACCTGAATTTTAAACAGAAATCCCACTGTGACTCATAAAACGTAAATGCATAGGTATAATTTTTTACATAAGGCAGGTTCAAACCTTCAGAGCATTTAATATACAAGCACTAATAAATGATAGCACTAAAAACTATGATTGCATCAGCTAAATGGATTATAAATTAAATTTCCATAATGTATGCAACTGAGAAACAAATGTAAGCATAAATCAAGGTATTTTCTAAACACAGGTTAATTATACAACTTCAAAAACTGCCTATTTTTTATGTAAAATAATCCACTTAGCATTTTTCACGCTGGCCTTAATTCTCAGCCCGCTGCACCACACGTGTTCCTAGAAGCATATCAATAACTACTTGTCATGAAAAAATAGCTGTAGGTATATGGAAAAAACCTGTAGCGGATTTTTCAACTGTCTGTCTTTTATGAGTGTTTATAGCTAGAAATTGTGCCAAAATGATCTGAAATAAAAAGGATTAATTATAGTAGAAGCCTTTTAATATAAGTGAGTGGAGTCGCAATGCAATTAATGCAAATTGTGGCTCTATCAGGAGAATAAATGTGAACCACATCACGGCCATTTCTGTTTGCCACCAAATAACTCCAGTAATTTACTACATTAAGAATCAATAAAAAAATAATGCTTTTCAAATGCATCTCTATCAATCTTCAGGCAGCTCTAAAGTGAACATTTATAACTTAATCTAAAAACTATATAAGAGATGATGTCTTGCTTTAAAGTCATTGTAACTGAATAAGCAGATAATTTTGTTATTTCAAATCATACTAACCACAGTTTAAAAAATGAAAAAGAAATGTAAAATAAGGATATGTATCAATAACATGTTATTTAATAATTGTGCTTCAGAATTAATAACTGGGAATTTAAAAACATATTCCTTTGCCTGGGACCACTAGTGACTTATGTAAACTCTAAGCTCCTACAGGACAAGAGACCCTAATTTTTAATGCTTGAGTCCGAGTACAACATATGGTACTCATTCCTTTAACAAACGTTTATTAAGTGCCCACTGTATGCCAGGGACCACTTTACTTACTGGAATTCTGCGTCCATGAATTTGTTTAGGAAAAAAATTCATTTTCTTGACTTTTCAGGTATGTGAGATTATGCATAAATGTCAAGATTCATTGCAAATCCTTGCTCTTCACAATCCTCTTCCAGAGATCTCTCTACATTGTCAACTCCCATAACACTTTTGTCTACACAGCTACCTTGACACTAAAAGGCTGTGCTGTGACATGGTGTTCCGTGGGTTTCACATGGGTGGCCATCACCCAGGAAGACACCGAGTTCCCTGCACACGGGCCGGGTCCCACGAGCGTCTCACCCAACACACCAAATGCTCAGCACCACTGCTGGGCGCTTCTTACGTTTGCTGAGTAGAAATGAACTAGCTGTTCACGATTCAGTACGCGTTCTGCTACTCAAGGAAGAGGAGTTCGGTAACCAGTGTGGGCTCCTGAAGGACCACGCCAGGAGTTCTCTACAAAGGCTGCGACGTTCCCGGAGAGCAGAGCCACCGGGTCTCACTTGCACCTCAGCCTGTCTCCTTGAGACCACGGCACCGCAGAAAGGCAAGAGCCCCCTTCCCTCTCCTACTCTCGAGCTCTTCCTTCCCTTCAGAAGACCTCGCTTCTCCCATCCCATTTTCCTCTGGGTGCCCAGAAATTAATCCACAATTTTTTTTTTTTTGAGACAGAGTCTCACCGTGTTGCCCCAGCTAGAGTGCCGTGGCGTAGCTCACAGCAACCTCAAACTCCTGGGCTCAAG